GCCGCGGCAGCTGCACTGTGCGTATGTCGAGTGGCTGCTCAGTCATTGCCTTGTGACACAACGCTGACAGTGTTATCGCAGTGTCAGTGGATGGATGGATGGAGGGATGGATGTATGGTTGGCGTGTCATGTGTGTGGTTTGCGAAGCGGTCAATGTCACGCGGTGGTTGTGGTGTTCATCTGAGGTGCACGTCGAGGATATATCATTTCGCAACAAGTGGTGGAGGTGAATCTCACCTCGTTGTTAGGGCATTAGTTGCGCCTTCACGCTGGTCACATGCTGCGAGGAGATAGAGCGAATGGAATGCTGAGGCCACAATGCGGTCTGAGTGGACTCCTTATGGGATGCAGTTGAGTGTGCTTCAACAGGCTTACTGGATTTCATGTATGCGGATGTGGCAACGTGCACCCTTACGTCTGCGTCTTTCACATCGTTGCTTTCTAGGGCGCAGGCACCTTCTTCTCTCTCGGTTGCACTATCCTGCATTTGCATAATGGGACGGTGGTCAGGTCTCCTCCATTAATCACTACGCACGCAACCAAAACGCCATCGGTGGCAGTAAGCCGACGAGTAATTGCACTTTACACTCTGACAGCACCGAAAACGCACTTGACAAAAAGCAGAAAGCACCTTGTAAGGCATTACTCTGTCTCCGTCCACCAGGATGTTGTGGTTGACACTTTGCCACCAAGGTGCACGAATTGGTGGCGCAGTGAAATGGCAAACCGTTTGCATCCTGTGCTGACAATTCACACTACCGTACAAACCGAAGCTTGTTCGTGAACAGATGTGACAATGTCGCGGCTCCTTTCAATTAACTGCAAATGGCAAGATGGTGATCCTTGGCTTCAGTATGGGGATGGTAAATGAGTGGGGACTATATGGCCTGCATGTCTAAGTTAGCAAGACCAACGCTTCCCTACCCTTCGGCTCCGTGTTTAGAGGGAAGTGGAAAGGAGCAGATGGAGGTGGAGGTGGAGGTGGAGGTGGAGGAGGAGAAGGAGGGGGCTACATTCTTGGGTGCGCACGCATCATCATTGAGAGAAAAGGCTTCAGAGGGCGCATTTAGCGACATGAGGAGTTTCACTGAAGGATGAGTGAGAGTGAGGGTGTGCTGTGACG